TGTCCTCTTAAGATCAGAGAGGTGACACTGCCCTGGCTGGCTGGTGGCACAGCAGGGAGCTCAGGGGAGTGAGGAGGGGGATGCTCACTGGGTGGGAGGCAGGGGCACCCACAGAACCTCCAACGGGCTCAGCTGCTGGCCTGGGTGGGCGCGCAGAGGTGCAGGGGAAAGAGCATTCAGACCTCTTTTCTCCCCAAACCATCCTCCAGCTCTCACAGATCCTGCTAAAATTAGTCAGAGGGGTGTCAAGCACCTCTGAGAGGAAAAAAAAAGGCTTTTCCTTTTCTTGGTAAGGTCACCAAAGAGATCTCTGTCATGCAAAGGCAGCACAAACCTTCTGCACTGCGCTCTCCTCAGCGCTGTGGCTCAGCCTTCACCCAGAACCTCCAACACTGCCTCCAAGGCCTGAACACTCCAACAAAGATATCTTCCCTCCTTTGTCTGCTCTGATTTTTCAAATGCCACTTCAGATTCCTGTTTCATCAAATGCAAATAACATGAATATGGCTTTTTCTCCCCCTGAAGAATATAATTCACAGGAAAGCATTTTCACAGCAACCCCAATTTAATCTCCGTCTTTTTTTCCCCGTGATTATACAAACTGATCTCCAGTCTCATCTGCTCAACTGTCACATCCTCCCATCCCACTGTTGCTCTAATTGCACACTGCTGAGCCCCCTCGATTGTTCCGGTACCTCTGGGTAATGGCAGGAATTCTCCCCTCTGCAAAGTGCCAGCACAGCCTTTCATTTCTGCTTTTGATTCTTCTCTAAAAACGAGGTGAGGAAAGCACTGCCTTATTTCTGAGATCCTGATGTTGCACCACAATCTGTTACTCAGTCTCCCCTCACCTCAGTGGATTCTTTGTTTGGTATTTTTAACTCTAAACTTTCCAAGCAGCCACCTCCTGTGAGGTGTTTGTTCCAGCTGTCAGTCCTACTTTGGATCTACATTTTTACCACCTTGCTGAGGATAACAAGATGTTTTTACCCTTTCTGAAAACCAGGCAGTCTTGATCCCCACCTAACGCCGGTTCTTTGGCTCTTTGATTCACCTCAGCTTAGAAATAGATCAGGAAAAGACTCAGCCTCCTTAAATCCACAAACAAAATTTACAAAAAAGGCCTGGGTTCCAACTGCTGCAGAACACAAGACACCCTCCTCATCTGCAAGTGGAGCTGGCTCTGCACACCTTCATTTGTTTAGAGCTTGGTGGGCTTGGGGTATTTTGAGGGGTCAGGGGTTTATTCAGGCCAAGGTTTTTCTTTTCTATTGCACCTCTCCGTGTGGCATTGCATCAATGTTTTAAACTGAACTGCTGCATGCCCCAGCCACCACACTGCTCCTACCCAGCAGGACAGACAGGCTGGCAGGAACACCACTGGCTCTCCAGAGTATCAGACAGTAAATGCACTTTCCCCTGCTCCCAGTGGAGGCAGGTTCAGTGCCAGAACTCAGTACACTGATGCAGGCCTCAAAAGAGAAGGACCCTCATCAAATAATGCTTTATTTGACCTAGAAGCCTTCCTTGGGCACTCTTGCAGCCCTGCTGCTGGACTAGGGCACAGCAGCATGTGTCACCACCTTGGCTGATCCCATTCCCAGTCTTCCATCCCAGCTTAAAGTCTCCCCTAATGCCCTAAAGACATAAGATGTGCAGCTTTCTGCTGCTGTACCTCAGTAGCTGTTCCCTCAATATTTAATCTTGTAAGCTGTTAATGCACGGATCTGTGCTAAGCAGCAGAGTTCAGCTTTTTCTGCACTCAGAATTTGCTTCCTTCTTGTCTGAGCATGGCAAAGGCCATTCACTTACTTCTCAGACCCCAACTCAAGCCAAAATTCATTCCATTTTGACCCAGTGAGAGTCCAGGTGGTTTTCTTCCTTTCCCTTAAACGTGCCACAGAAATTTTTGGCCAGCCGGCCTTTCTGCGTTTCTTTTCCTTTTCATTTATTCACTGCAGCCTTAGCTGGATTTTTTCCCCCTAAACAAAAACAAATAAAAGCCCGGAGGCAGCGCAGCCTCGTCTCTCCGGAGATGCCAGCAGCTGCCCTGGGTGCCTCGGTGCCAGCTGCAGCACAGGGACACAGCAGGGCTCTGCCAACCCAGCATCTCCCCCAGGCCTGTGCTGCTGGGGCCTTCCAGCAGGAATTGCTGCCTCCTCCCTCCGCTCTCCTGACTCTTTCCTGCCTCCTCCCTCTGCTCTCCTGACTCTTTCCTGCCTCCTCCCTCCACTCTCCTGACCAGAGAACGCTTTTGGCGCACGGCTGGGATGTTCAAAGCCAGCCTAGAGGGAATACGTATGGCTCCATGTCCATGAAGCATCTCCAGCTTTTTGGCATGCCCAAAGCTCCGCTGGACACAAATCTCACACAGCCCCTTGGGCTCTCAGCCCCACCTATGCCAGGAAACCTTTTTCAGGGATATTCTTCAAGACAGAAGTAATTTAAACTCCCAAACGCAAGTCATCCTACAGGATCTATTTTCTGAGCAGTGTGGGAAGGTACCGGCCTGCACAACCATTTATTAGCACAAATAGGAGTGTATGTTTAACTCCGTGGAATGGGTAGAACAAAGGATTATTAAATAAAATTCTGATTAGTTCAGCTGAAAGCAAAATACCAGCTGGAACCTGGTGTAGCACAGGCATGTTATCAGCAAACATGTGCTGCCAGCGCATCTGCACGCACACACAGACAGACACAGACAGACACACAGCCCAGCTCTGACCATGGAACAGCAGAGCCACAGCACTCCCATCCTGCTCTGTTCCCCGACAGCTCCAGCCCTGCCCTGAGCCTTTGGCCCCACAGGGCTGCACAATGGCAGTGAGAGTGATGAAACCTGCGTTTTCCCACTTCCCCTCCTACCAGCAGCCATGCTTTGTTAGCGTTCCAAGTGGGAACACAGCCACTCAGCAGAGCTCTCACAGAGTCCCACCGCCTGGAATCACATGCAGGGCACATGGCCCTCCCTCCCACCAGCCTGCCTAAGTGCAGCCATATTCATTAACAGCCCTTCCTTTAGATCCTGGTGCAAAAGTTAATGAAGCCACTTTGTGAGAGGGCAGCCTCCCCAGCAGAAGATAAATAATGGATATAAAAGCAGGCTGGGAGGGAGCTGGCGCATCCCTGCAAGGTCATGCTGAAATGCATCAGTGCCTCACCGAGGCTGGGCTGCTCCGGTAAGGAGCCTGCAGCTATTTATGACTCATGTAATTAATTAATGCCAACGGGCCTTCTGCTGCAGGCACGTGGGAGACCAAAGGGAAATACGAAGTGGGCAGGTTAGGAAATGTAGTGGAGGTGGGAGAGAAGGATGACATTTCTTGTGGCAAGACATGCTTTGAAGTAATTACCAGCAGTCCAAACAGCCAGCAGCTCTTTTGGCTACGTCAGAACAAAATCAATTAGGAGCTTTAAAAATGCATCGGGCTCTTATTCCAGAGAGCATCAAGAATAAGAAGTAGCCTCGGAAGGAGCGCGGTTGCATTTCCAAGCACCGTGCACCCTATGACCCTTCCCCAGATCCTCAGACCCCACAAACGGTGTGACCAGCAGAGGGAGCATCTTTAATACCGTCCCAATCACGCCCGCTTTGGGATGAGAGCACGGAGGAAGACCCACAGTTTGATTTTATGTGTCTCTAAAGCCTGAGGACAAGTTCAACAGAAGTGAGAAAGGACTGAAGGTGAATGTGGAAAAAGGGGAGTCCTGCAGGCACTCCGGGCTCCTGACACAAATTTCCCCCTTCCAGAGCTGCCCCTCCCAACACTGGGAGCTATCCAAAACTGCAGATCACATCAAGAAAAGGACCAGGGCTGTGGCTTCCCTGCTCCAGCTTGCAATACTGCAGTCTCACACTGCACACTCAACACGTGGTGACGCTGAGTCATGACACCACGCTTGCACAGACCGTTTGAGGACAATGAGAGCTTAACCTAATTTTGTCCCTTTGTTTGTCCTCTGCACACAGATCAATCAGTTCCACTCCCTGCCTTCACACCCCCCTGCATCCAGTGCCTGATACATTATTAAGACTGTAAATACAAATAAAGCTCACTCTTCCCCTCCTCTGGGAGGGCTCTAAAGTCCTTCTGGGTCATCCAGCTCCCACCCAGCCTGCATCCTCTCTCATGTATCTTCATTGCCAGACTATCTTCTTACCCTTCCCAAATGTACCCATGCATTGTCCTCGCTCCCTCTTATCAGAGCTGCCTGCAACAAATCCTCTCACACAATGAGGATTGCAGATTTGCTTACATGCTGGTGCTGTTCTCCATTTCTGCTCCTGTGTGCATCTCTTTTCTCTCTGGACACTTGCAGGGGTCAAGCAGCACAGCATCAGTCTGCCACAGCCATCTGGATGAGCAGCAGAGGCTGCCTGCAGCCCCAACCCTGGCTGGCAAAGCCTGGGAGTCTGCAGTGTGCTCCCCTTTGAGCCTTTCCCAACCTGCACAGTCTGGGGGATTGTGTTTTCTAACCTCTGATCACTGCCAAAGCCCTTGGATCCTGGTGGGACTCTCTACCACTACCCAGTATCTTTCTGGAGCAAATCAATAGCAGAAATTAAAACCCAAAAAGGAAAGAGTAAGTGAAATGAGAGTGGGGTTTAGTTTCATAAATATATATGAGTAGAACAAGAGCAACAAAGTGCTTCTTTCTGGTGGGCTGAGAATCAACTCGAGCCTGAGTCTCCAGGGTAAAACAGGAGCGAAGTAAACGACAACACGAACACCCACTTAGCATTCGTGCTTCATATCCCTGCTCTGAGCCTCAGCAGCTCCAGGAATGCTCCTGTTAAACACTCTAATGCTCCCAGATACCAGTGATCTGGACTGGTTATTTTCTAAACAGATTCCCCCCTTCCCCCCTACCCCCCTCCCAAGCCCCAGGAGATCCCATAAGCCCAAGACAAAAGCAGTTTAGAAGAGGTGTTTCGACCTCTTCTGGCTATACAATATCCATGGCTGGCTCCATTTTCCTAATTGTTTCATACTGACCTTGAGGATATTCTGGCCATTAAATGACTCCCGCTCCTTGAAAGATGATTTACCAGGCATTGTGTTGCTTCGTTCTTCAGCTGTAGAGAGAAAAGCCACCAGCAGAATGAGCTTCAGATGGGAGAACTGTGTGCTGTACTTCACCCCCCACTCTGTCCCTCCCTAAAGTCAGCTGCCAGCTAATAAACCATCTTTAAACTTGTTCTCAGTGCAAATAAAAACCATTTCCACTTGGATTTTAGGAGGAAAAGGGCTGGAGCTGGTGTCCCTATGGGGATCACCTCTGTTATTACCTGGAGGAAAGGCCCCAAATCACAGCTCCTGCCGTGGTGACTCTGTAGGGCTGACTGCTCAGTGTAACACACCTGCTTCTCCCTGGCTCGTTTTCATCCCTCATCCCGCCATGGCAGGGTGTGAGACAGCACTTGCATGGCCTGGAACAGCCCCAGATCCCAGGCTGAGCGTGCCAGCACAGTGCCAGGCGGGATGGGGACAGCCCTGACACAAACCTGTGCTGCCTGCACCCTACATGTGCTGTGGATGCCTCTGTGGGGTGGGCACACAGCCACACACACACATTCAGAACAGCAACCCAGGCCTACAGCAGCTGCCAAAAGCCTACATGTGAGATCCATTTCCCCAGAGCACGGCTGGGTTTTTATATAATCCCCAAGTACATGATCTGTGCCTTCCACAGCACCTCTGCCTCCCTCAGTGAATATATTCAGTATTTCTTTTTCATCTCCATCATTAACTGTGAACATCCAGCTTGCTGTTCAAATCCTGTATGGAATACAAAGAGACTCCTATGGCTGCCTGTGGAATGCTCTCCCCATTGTGTCTGAATGCCTCTCGTGCCTCATGGGGCTGTGCAGAATATAGACTGAGGATGCCAGACCAGCTGCCCATGTGCAGGGCCACAGCAGCACTCTGGGGTCATATTTCCAGGGCTCTCAAACTGAGCCCTCTCTTTACAGGGTTTCTACACCCTGGGTGTGCTTGTTTGACTCCAGCAGCAGTCAGAGCCAAATCTGTCCAGAAGACAATGGCACAAATCACCTGCTGTTATCAGTGTCCCTGCAGAGATTCAGAGAGGCAACAACTAAAGAATTCCTGACACAACCTATTGCAGTGCACAGGGGCCAGAGCACATGTTTGCACATGGAGAACCAGGCTGTAACACACTGCCCCTCCCCAAGGATGATGCTTTTAGGGCTGCTTTAGAAAGTAATGTGATCAGAGTGATGCTAGAGACAGCTCAGAGCAGACAATCTTTTGGCAGAGACAGCAGACGCCATACACTCAAGAATAGCTCACATTCAGCTTCGCATCACATTCATCTGTCTGCATCTGATTTAAGGAGAAAGACAATGGCATCACTTTCCTAAAGAAATGGGCAGTCTCTAAGTTAACCAGAGAGGATTATGTTTTCATCTTGTTTGAAGGTCAGCACAACACATGGAGTTGTTACCCAGTTTCAATTTAACACTGGGATACAGAGTGCCCAAGATCTCACCTCCATGAGGAGTGGCTGAGGTCACCTGCTCTGTTCAGCCTGAAGGAGACTGAGGGGACCCAGACTCATCAGGGTCTGCAGCTTCCTCACAAGGGCAGTGCAGAGCAGCTCTGATCTCTGTGACCAGGGACAGGACCCAGGGGCACTGCTGGAGCTGTGCCAGGGGAGGCTGGATATTGGGAAAAGGTTCCTTGCCCAGAGGGAACACTGCCCAGGCTCCCCAGGAAATGGTCAGAGCTCCAGGAGTGTTTGGCAACGCTCTCAGGCACAGGGTGAGATTGTTGGGGTGTCCTGGGCAGGGCCAGGAGCTGGGCTGGATGATCCCTTCCCACTCAGGACATTCTATGATTCTACTTGAATGTATTTTTCCCTGATCCTGTGAGTGCTACAGGATGCCAAGGTTTTGAATCTATGACTTTTGTTCATTGCTTTATTTTCTTCTGGGTTTTACCTGCAGACATCTCCCCCTCAGCCCTGTAAGTAAGAAAAACCACACTGAAAAAGCAAACAAAAGCATCTGCTAAGCAAAAGGACTACTTTAAATGCATTGAGCAGCAAGGATGAAGGCTCTGTACGTACTTGGATCTTTCCTGAAGAGAGTGTTCATGACTGTGGCATGCAGCTTCACCCTGTCCCACTCTTTAAGCATCAGGCCAGAGGCCACAAAGCGCTCCACCAGCTGATCAGCCAGCATCTGCAACCTGGGAAGCAAAGGGAAAGAACAGGGCCATGTGAAACAAGGAGCCTCTGCAGCACCAGCTCTGGGCTTTCCAGCCAGAAGGGCAGCAAGTGTGAAATGAAGTCTCTGCCTGCACACAGGAAAGGCAGCCAGTCCCCGATGGAAAGCGAGCAGAGGCATCAGCATTCAGCTCTAATGCAAAAAGTTCTGAGTGTTGCACAAAGCTTCCTCTGTGATCGCTTCTGCTGCAAATATTCCAGGAGGAAGGGCAGATTTAGCACAGCACAGAGCTCACTCACAGTGACAGATGTTACTGGGAGCTGAAGGATGCATCTTCCTACTGCCAGGAAACACAATGTGACTCTCCTTGCAAATGCTAAAATCTGCACACCCGCAGGGGCCTGGGCACCTTGGCTCCCAGGATGTGTTCAGGGATTGCTGAGCCTGGCTCCTCTCTGCCCCAAATAACCAACCCAGCCCTGGGCTTGCTGTCTGGGAATGCGGTGACAGGGCCACAAACCCGGCCAGCACATCCTGGTGAGCACTCCAGCTTTGGAGCTACTGAGCAAGCAAAATCCAAGGACTCATTCCCACCTTTGTGCCTGGCCCTGACTCTCAGGATCTGAGGGCAGACCCATCCTAGGACAGGGATCAGAGCACTGTGCTCATGTCTAAGGAGCTGAAGGAGCTTCCAGGCTGCTGCTGTGCCCAAAAATCTCTGCAGTGCCTGATTCTTACCAAAGGTGGAGAGGATATGCCACAATGAGAGCTTCCCATCTCTGACAACAAGGCCAGAGGGTATTCAGTCTGTGCAGAAGAATCTGAGCCTCCCCCAGCACGTCCCAGGGATCAGAAGCTTTCTGCTCTGAGGTCCCACCATGGTGTTTCAGCTGTGGCAGAGCATGGCCTGTCCCCAGAGCCTGGGGCTGCCAGCTCTGACCCCACTGCTGCCTCTGGGCTGCCCCTCACAGGCTGCCAGCCCCCATGTGACCATACCAAGACTCTCAAACTACCAATTGTCATGGCTTTTTACTATTTTCTGGCTTTACTTCAGTGATTTTTAAAATTAAGCAATGACAAAGATTAAATGAATATCATTACAGACAATACTAAAACAAATTAACAGAGAATAGCTCAAGTGAAAATGGTGCTTTATTACGTTATAAAGTTAATCAAGGAAATAAAACAAATTAGAATGAATTATAATGGAAATTATTTGCCATGTGGGAGGCATCAGAGCATGATCCCTCTTTCAATCTGAGCCATTATATGTGCAGAAGGGCTTGCCAACCCCTAATTCTGTCTACAGTTATGCAAGCTAAGTCAGGATAAATCAAATCTCCTGCTTTACAGCTTAAGCTGATCAAGATCATCCAAAGATCAGGAAGGAACTCCACCCCTCAGCCATGCCAGGAACTCCACAGAGCTAACAGGACATCTTGCATGAGACAGGAAGGCACACACCTCTCTCAGCACAGGCTGCAGCACTCTGATCCAGCACAGGAAGCCACGTGGCTGCTGCTCTCCTCTGGCATTGGCCTTGCAGCTCAGAAACTGCTTCCCCATTTCCCTCAGCAAGGCACAGCAGGTTCAGGGAGCTGCTCAGCAACGACCTGTGTCACCGGCCAGAAAACAAAGCAGGGCTTTCTGGAGGCATCACCATTTGTCCTCTCTTTATAATCACTGCTGGTCCCACACAGTGACTGCTGGAATCTCAAAGGAAGGAAAAGCTGCTCTCCATCAATACAAAAAATCCTTTTTTCCCCCTCTGCAAAGCTAAATGTTTTTCTGGATGCTTGCTAATAGCTAAGGACTATATAAGGGGAGAAGTGCAAGGTAAATGGTATCAGGAGAAGGTGCTTCACCCAGATAGTCATGGGGCACTGAACAGGGAATTGGCACTGGCCTCAGGGCTGCCAGAGCTCCAGGAGCACTTGGACACCACTCTCAGGGACAGAGTGGTGTTGTTGGGGTGTCCTGGCCAGAGCAAGGAGCTGGACACAATGACCCTGACTGCTCCCTTCCAACTCAGCCTGTTCTGTGATTCTGGGAATTAACCTGCAGGTGAGGGCAGCCCCAGCCTGAGCCAAGGATTAGAACTTCAAATTGCTTGGCCCTCTCTGAGCCTGCTGCTATGCAAAAAGCAAATCAGTTGCTGTGGAAGAGAAGCCTGGCAGTTTCCAGGTGCCATGCAAAGCACAAGGTCTGGTTTTGATCTCTGAGAAGGAGAGTGGAGGCATCAGTCCCTTTTGGGGGGGTGGGTGTGCTGTTTTCAGTTTCAAGGCCAGGTGGGTTTGAAGACCTCACTTCCCTCCCCTGCCCAAAGCAGCTCTGCCAGCCCTGATGCACATCAGCACTTTCTCCAGCATTATGCCCAAGTGTGTTCTCACCACACAGGGCACAGCTGGCATCTGAAACAGAGCAGGGTGCAAGTGCCAACAATTCCAGCTGTCCCCAGAGGCAGGCAGACATCACTGTCAATTCAGGCCCTGCTTTATGCTCTGCAGGATTCCTCTCCCAGCTCCTGAGGCCGCAGCAGATTTATTTTCAGATGCAACCAGACTGGCAAGCCTTGCACCTCAGAGAGAGCCAGAGCTTGGTGACTCAGGAGGAGAGGCCCAGAGCTGGTATTTTAGATGCTTTCTACAGCAAACCCACCAAAGGACATTTGGGTCACGCAGTGTCTGTCTCCATCTCATCTTTCCAATCACTTCTGCTCTTTCTCCCTGTGTTCTGGCCCTGGCTGATCTCTGCCTTGCCCTGCTTCCCCACCTGCCCCATTTGTTTTTCTCTCACCTCTTCCAGGGTAGGACAGACTTCAAAGTGGAAGAGACAAGAAAAGACTTCAATTCCTACTGTCTCCCAGCAGCTCTTGCATTTTTCATTTTCCCCCTCATTTCCTTATCCCGCTTCCAATCTCTGACTCCAACACAGCCTCCAAAGTGTGGCTTTAGCAGGGCCCCCCCTCAGCATCTCCTCAGCCCTCAGGGAAAGGATATGCCAGAACACATCCCTTCCTCCCTGAGCCAGTCCCTGCTCACTGCCTCCCTCCTCCAGCTGCACTGCTCCATGCTCCTCTGGCAATGGGAACACACAACAAAGGGCAGTGCTGGCAGGCAGAGAGGGCTGAGGCTCAGAGACAGCAGGTAAAGCTCTTTTGGCTACTCCCCTTCCCTGGTTCTGGCACCCAGCAGCACTGAGCACAACAGCTCTTGTGTTAATCACAGAATCTACAGTGGTTTGGTTGGAAGAGGTGTTACAGATCAGCTGCTTCCAAACCCTGCCATGGGCAGAGACACCTTCCACCAGACCAGGGTGCTCCAAGCCCCACCTGTGCTTCCTCAGTCTGCCAGAAAGCACCAAGAGAAAAGCTGGTGCTGCCACTGGTGACACTGTCCTTGTCAAAAACAAGATGAAGGAAAGTTGTCCAGACACTGGCACATCCTGGGCAGGGCTGTTTCTGGAGCTGAAGCCATCAGCCACAGTGGGGACCAGCACAAACACTGGAGATGACACCAACCAGGCCTCAGGATCCTGCAGCAGCAGCTCCAAAAGACATTTCACAGCCAGCACCCATTCCAGGCTGCTGCAGGCACACAAACCAGCTCTGCAATCAGGTCATGCTCTTCTGAGGACCTTCTGGGCTAACTGGGTTTAAAGAATAATTAAGTACTGCAGAATGGAACACACCAGGCTGTCCAGGTTAATCTGAACCAGACAGCAGAGGCCAAATCCTCCTGCCTTCTAAGTCCTCTCAGGAGCATCTCCTTGGCCATCTCATCCCTGTGTGAGCTGTGACTCCATCACTCACCCTGACAGACTGCTGCAGAAACAAATAACATCCTTCAGCTGCAGTGAGTGAGTTAAAGAGCAAACACATCACTGCCTTGACTGCTTCAGGAAGCAAGGATGACTTCATCTTGGTGACTGCTGGCCTGAGGACTGCCAGAACACCCACCAGCTCCAGAGGGTTTCCCTGGTACTCTGGGGAGAAGGGAACACAGGAGCAGAGGAAACTCACCTGTCTGAGCCATCCTTCATGTGGACTTTGGCATAAAGGACATCTGTCATGGCAGGGTCATCGTTCATGTACTCCACTCCTGCCACCTCCACTGTCAGGGGCTGGCCTCCAGTAATTTGGCTAAAATTCAAGAAATTCCTGATGTTAAAAAGCAAAACATCACACCAGCTCTTGAAATGTAACACATAGTGCTCCTTGTGCATATACCAAATATTTGGGCTTACTAGGAGAATGAGATTAGATATTCCTTTTGCCACAGTGGGACTTAAATGTTATACAGAGCCTATGGGGCAGTGAACTCCACCCAGAAGTTCTTCTCTGTCCCCTATTTTTCAGCTTGTTAGCACTGCAAAAACCCAAACTCAAAAAGTCTCCCTAATTCCTAAAACTCAAAAGCCTATGGCTGCTGTTGCCTTGTCACCCTGAGTGGTAAAAAAATTTGAGTTCATACATTTGGTGTTTCAGACACACATTAAATCAACTTGTCAGTGTTCACAGGCCAGGCCAACATGGAGATCTCCATCCACATGTCAGAAAACCCAGCAGAAGGAAAAGGTCCAAGTTCTCATTCCAGAGAGGCTCCTGCCTCCCTGTGAAAAGAGCAACCATAAAGTCTCTGATTTTTGCTGTGAAAGGCACTTGATACAGAACACAGCTCTGAGTGCACCATCCAGCCAGGAAACAGAGCTGGTTTGAAATCAGCTCCAGCTCTTCATGCAGGATATAATATGCACTCCCACACCTGCAAACACCCTGCAGAGTGTACCTGCTTCCCAGCACTCTGCCTCCTTGCCTTTCCCAGCAGAGCATCCTGGGGAGGTTGGTGCCACAGCCAGTGCTCCCTGTGAGTAAGTGATGCCTTGTTTAACACCCAGGGCTCGTGCAAAGAACAGGGAGTGTCTGGGCAGGCAGATGTAACTAACACAAGGTAACGAGGCAAATATGACTTTGCTCTGACCTTGCTCACTCCTGTTCAGCTTTTGAGGTGCTCAGCAAAGACTCCCAAGTGAAATAAGCAGCGTGATTTCCCTTCCCAGTATAGTTACTGGGAGGGAAACAGCACAAATGTACTATTATGGACACCAAACTAACAGCACTAAAGGTCACATATTCTAAAAAGGGTCAGAATGGTCACAGCTACCTTCAGAGGGCACTGGCTGCACTTTAGAAAAGGAAATGAAAGCTAATGAAGGTTTATGTAGGTGGAAGGGAGCCTAATTAATTTTCCAAGTATATTTACTTGGGTGTGGAAGGGGAAATAAACTAAAGGTTACCTTCAGGTGTTGATTCCCCGTTCACTAAAGGAAACAGGGAGCAATGATTTTCTCGGCATCAGTTCAATCCACTTATGTGGAAGCTGGCACTTTCCAAATATTGCATTCAGAACCTCCCCCTGGAAACACACTTGCATTTCTGTTCAACAGCTGAACTGAAGCCATCCTTTTAAAGGCAGAGATATGAATTCTGGCCATGCATTAATTCCCACAGATATTAGCTGGCACAGCGTGGCCAATTCTTCATGCACTGAGGCAGCAAATGAATGAATGCAAAGGATCCGTGCTCTGTGTGCAAAGGCGTTGCAGAAATAAATAAATAAATAAACCACCCCCTCAGGCCATCTCCAATTACTAAGCTGACCAGAGATAAGCTAATTAAGGTGTCACTGGAGCACACTTGCAGCCAAAGCCCCAACATCTGCAGCTGGGTGTTAAGAGGCAGCGAGGCAGCCGCGCTCCCAGAGCAGCGCGGGCGCTTTCAGGCTGATCACTCACAGGGCTCCTGATGGCTCCCCTCGCCAGGAATGTGTGTCAAGGACACCTCAGCATCTGCTCTGAGGCAGGAGGGGAGTGCCAGAGCCAGAGCCCACTGCAGGCAGCGCGCAAAGGTAAGGGAGCTCAGCCCTCCCTCTGCTGCAGGCAGGGGACAGCAGCAAAAACTGCTCAGGCACAAAGAACAGGGATGCACGTGAGGAGGAGAAGGGAGCAGAGCAGGTTTTCAGGGAATGCTGAGGGTCTGAGCTGAGCTACAGATGCTGTAAGGCTCTCTGGGGCTGCTCAGTGATTTCTACTGCTCCATTTGAAACATTTCTAAATGTTTCAAAACATTTCTAAATTTTTCTCAATTTGTAGAGTTGAGAGAACACTACTGAGCTGCTCTTCTCTTCACTGTTCCTCATCAAGACAGAGTGCTGCTTTCCCCACCCTCCAGGCTTTGGTGATGACATCCCTCCCCCATCACTTACTCCACAAAGTCCTCTTTGCACTGCTGCAGGAGGTCACAGGCTCTCTGGATCTCTTGTTCGTTCAGGAGCACCAGCGTCCCGATAGTCAGGTGGAGCTTTGCAGGGTTCTGGAACAGGCTGCTGCTGACCCCGTGATCCTACAAATCAATCCATCACACAGAGGTGTCTCACCTCATCCACACACACCCTGCTCCACCACAGGGATAAACACCACAGAAAGCAGGTACCAAGTCACTGGCATCAATCCCTTTATCTCTGGTTGGGTTGGTAATGACTCCAAGTTGAAAATTTCTCAGCCTGGCAGATGAGCTGCAGTCCCACCACTGCTCCCTGCCTGCTCTTCCATCAGAGCTGCTCAACAGCAGCCTGAAGATCAGGACAGCAGGCTGTAACTTGGTACCCAGGACCTGCAACACTCACTTGGATGGGGTTTTTTGGGAGGAGACTTCCACAGTGTTGACGCAGCTTCTGCTACCAGCAATGAACTCAACACAAGCCAGCTCAGATTTAAAACTTCAATCCATTTCTTGTGCAATAAAACTGAGACCAGCTGTAGTGACAAGCTCTAAATGGTCTCTAAATCCTGTCTAAACACAGGTTACACCTCACAACAGAAGCACAGCTAATACCAGCTCTGATAATTATACTTTTCTGCTTCCCATACACCCTATAGTTTGCTGAGGTGAATTAAGTTTAAATTCCCTTTATAAGAAGAGCTGTGTGTTGTTGCTGGGGAGGAACTGCTCCCAGGTGGAGCAGTGGTTACATCCAGCTTTAAGAAACGAGCAATTCTGTTCTAGGATACTTATAAAAATACCTCAAGGATGGTTAAGACGCCCATATTAAAACAATTATTTCCACTTAGTGGCCACTTCCCATCAGCGCATTAAATAACCTCCAATTTTAACTCCAGAAGAAGCCAACCTGCCAGGCCATGGAAGCCTTTCTGCATCTGAAAAGAGTGCACCAGCTGAGAACAATAGCTTTCAAGTTTCTACTGTGCTCCAGAGTTTGAAATAAAACCTTTCAGACATTTAAATGCTGCAGTATCTCAGCCTGTCAAGAGTTTCATGCCCCACATCTCACTCAGCATTTTTCATGCCTAATGACCACATGCAGACCCTTCTCTACAGCACAGTTTTTGGGCTGGATTAGGGACAAGGCAGGCTGCAAAACAGAAGCCAGGGGCTTGCTCCAGCAGCCACAGCCTGGCAAACACCAGGGATGGCCCCATCTCACTTCCTCCTGCCTTCCCCTCCCTGCAGTAAAAGCTTTGTGGCTTCTTTAAATCATGCTGCTGTTCACATGCATGACAGGGCATGATTCCTCTCTGTCAGCCTTTTTTCTCCAGTGATATCTGCAGTCAGAGAATATTTGGCCCTTCACAAAAAACCAGCTTGGGTAGCAGAAACTGGAAGGTTTGATTTAACCTTGCCACTGATAACCAGCCGAGGTCACAGAGTGCACAGATGAGGTACAGCAACACAGCCCTCTGCAGCTCAGAAAGCCAAAGCCTGCCCTCATTTTCTGCCCCAGCACAATTTGTGCTGTAAACATGACCCTGCCTCAAAAGCAGCATTTTCCCCTGAGGTTTTCAACACCTGAGTGTGGGCTGAGCTGACAAAGGATGGCACGTCACCTCCATGAGCCACACTGCTGCTGCTGGGGAGCTCAGCAGGGAAGGGCAGCGCACAGTGAGCAGGCCCAGACCTAGATAATCCTCCTGCTTTACTCCCTAGTATTTCAGGCAGCTCCTCAAAACCCTGCTTGCACTCCCTACTTTTCACAGGCCAGCAGATCCCACTTCTCTCACACAGAAAAGAGATGCTGTGTCAGAGCTGGCTCTCCCTGGAGCAGCCAACGTTCCTGGGGTGTCTGAGCAGCCCTTCCTGGCTGGATGCTGCTCACCAGGATGCAAAAAGGCTGGAACTCAATTCTCCAACCCCAGATCATGATGTGTGATCAGCAATCACTGAGTCACCTGAGGGGAATATGCCCTGTTGTCTCTACAAAAATTTACTGTTCAAACCTGGGCTCTTTAGGATGTATTGAGAGGCAGGAAGAATAATCCCTTTATGCACCACCCATATGTGGTGACTGTCCTTTTTAGCTTATGCCTCTCCCTAACACTGCCCTGTCATGGTCAAAAAAACTCAACTCATTTCCACTCAGTCATTTTTTCATCCCCCTGCTACCCTCTGCTCTGCTTCTTTAGAAAGGACACAGAAACAGTTTTATTTGGGGTCTCCAACTCTTGCAAAGCCCAAGCATGTTGTCCCTCCAAATTTAAGGCCCTGTAGCAGGGAAACCCTAACTTACAACACACTTCAGCCCAGGGATCAAGCTCCTTAGCTCTTCCACCCTGGCCCTGCCCTCTCTACTCTTTTAAGAGCTCCCAATGTTTGCAGACAGATTTATGTTTTCCAGGATTTTTTTCCTTAAGAGCAGGATGCTGCATGCCACCTCTGTGCCCTGTGCCATCCTGATGCACAAACAAAGGAGTGAGCCAGGAAAACAGTATTTGCACAGGATTGACTGGAGAGCTACAGGCTCAAAAACCTCTCCCACTTTCTGTCCCTTCCACTCTGAGATAAAACATCTCATTAGCAATGTTTGGTATTTACAGGTTGCCATATATGAGAGCAATCATGTTTCTTTCCCTGCTACAGCTGCAGCCTGTTCAGTCTGCAAACGCTGCACAGCTCTCCAAGACCCAACTGTGATTTTTCACTGCAAAGTCTCTTCCCTTTTCCACCTGCATGCTCAGACAGACATCTCAGCTCTCCTCACTCTGACTGTGAGAGAGAGGACACTTCCAAGGTCATCCAGCTGTCCAGACCTCCCACTGCACCACATCAGTGATGAGCCTGTCCAGGTGAGCCACCTCCCCATATTTACATTAAATTAACCTAAAAGAACCTCCCCTCAGCCCTGCTTCATTTCCCTGCCAGCCCTGACTGCACAGCATGAACAACACCTGAAGGGTTCTGTATTTCAGCACAAGGTTTATCTTCTAAAAGCATTTAAAGACACACACACAAAAAAAAACTTAGAAAGCAAATACCTACCAACAAAATGCTATAAAATATAAATGAATGGTTGTCATGGTAACTGCTTCAGAGAGAAACAGAGTCCCTCACAAATGCTCAATGGCCAGAAGAGATTCTCACACACACAACATACACACACACCCCTGCTCCTTTCCCTTCCTTGCCATTATTATCCCTCATTCAAAAGCTGAAGTTCACCTCATTCTGTGATGTTTTGCACCAGGTAGAGAAACACCCCACTTCTGTCACTGAAACCTATTCAGATTTCCCCAAGTATTCCGAGAAATCCCATTCCTTTGGACAAATCTATAAGCTCTTTTATTGCTCTGTGAGGCACAGTTTTGAATTACTGTTTTTCATTACTGATGTGCTTTCTAGCAGACCCTGCTGTGAGATAAAGTGGTATTAGAGTGGCATTACTGGCTGCAGGAGTGATTGAGGGAGGCACAGGGCTGCACTGCACTCCACAACTAACAGGAAGCAATAAATATATCCAGAAACCCTTCTGCTAATACCAGGAGAAGGAAGAGCAGGAAAATAAAGCACTATATATTCCTAGGCCAAGCATATGCAACCCCCTGAATACCTGTTACTGACTGAGTTCCACAATTCAAACTCAAAATTGCAACTCTAGAGCTGATGTAAGCAGTGCCAGGAACATTTCAGGCCCTTATGGGACTTGGAGCTGTCTAGACACAGGACAAAACCTGCAGGACAGACAGAAGGACAGGCAGGAGTAGGAAAGATGAACATGGCCAGTGCTTGGTCTCAGCACTTCCCTGACCAAGGCTGGATTGCTGCAGTTTTCTGAGACAAGGAGCATGTGAAGGTTTGCAGGCAGCTCCTTCCAAACGCGACTGACAGCACTTGAGGAATGCACAAAGTCTGTGAACATGTTTGTAAGAGATGGCAGACAAATCCTCTCCCCCCAGAGATGCAAACTGATATTTAAGAGTAAACAAGAGACACAATGTCACAGACAAGACCAGGAGGGGTTTGGAGAGCAAGCAGGATCACCAGTGCAGGAGGGCTGCAGAGATGCAACCCACCAAGGAGGCAGGAAAATGAGTGTTCTGCAGGGAGAAGGGCTGGGCCTGGGTGAGCCTGGTGTGCTGCAGGACTGAAAACACTGGAGGGGAGCACAAACAACAGCACTGCCTGCAAAGGTGGACAAAACACACATCTTAGAAACTGAAAGGACTTAGAAAGATCCTTGTAACACTCATCCAACACTAGAGCAGCCAGAAGCCAGTAGGTGGTATGGGACAGACTGAGGTTACTGCAGCAGGCAAGGCCACAGGGAGGGACCACAGAGATCCACAGGACCTGCTGGCAGACAGCTGGAGGAGGAGGAGAATCAAATACATGGAGTCCAGGATGCCAAGCTGTGGTGGTTTGACCAGGAAGGAGTGGGAATTCTGGGAAGCTGTGGTCAAACCAATGAAGGTTTTGGGTTTGAGACTGGCACCCGGTGTAGCCAGTGGGGTTTGGACACACCTCCGAGAATACACAGGGGTTAAAAGCAGGGCACTGCCCTTGGCACTCTCTCTTGGGACGTCGCGGCGAAGAGGTCAGATCTCTCCCCCGTCCAGCCCAGCCGCTGCTGCTGGGCGGGGGAGGGGCAGCCATGCGGTAGGCCCGGGGCCTGGACAGAGATGGGGGTGAGAAAGCTCTCAAGGATGGAAGGGTGGGGGAGCCCCAAGAGACATCGGGCAGCCATTTCCCCCCCCCCGGAGGGAGAGAGAGGAGAGCCGGCGTCTGAATGTGATAGCAGCCGCCCAGGAGGAGAAAGGGGAGGGAAGAGTGCAGCCTGGCCGGTGGAGCAGCAGCACCTGTGGGAGTACCAGCATTCTACCAGCATTCTGAGATAGACAGAGACTGAAAACTTTTAACCCTTTCTTTCATGATTGGGGCCTTGCAAAAATGCTAATCCTCCTCGAAGCTGAATAAGAAGGGAGATAAGAGATGAGATGAGACAAGGACCTGGCCCGAAGAACGTGGGGATGATTGGATGGGGAGAGATGATTTGGAGTGGCCTTTTGGCTGGACTTTTCTTGTGGCCATGGACTCAGTTGTTCCTGTGACACAGACTGCATTTAGGGGGAGGCAGTGCCTCAAAACCAGGAGGGTTCATTCGTGAGGACCCCCCGGCCCCAGGGGGTTGGAAAAATATGGGGGGGACAGATGTCCCAAAGCAGAGACTGTGCCTTTTTGGAGTGAGACAAGGCATCCTTGAAAGACAACCCTAAGAGCAGCTCTGGTCCATGCCGTCAGTGGTGAGAGCACTGGGCATGGAAGGAAGATGTCACAAGCGGCAAAAGGACTTTTTCCGGGCGGTGCCGAAGTGACAAGGAAGCACACGAGGTTTCAGTGTGTTTCCAGGAGAAGCCTATGGAACAAGAAGGACTCCTTTCCTCTTCATGAACTGCAGTTTGAGTATACTAAAGTGTGGGGCCAAGGCTGGGCAGTTGATTTGGGAGAATGTATCGGATTGGGAAAGTCAGGGAGTGGGGAGGAGGAAAGTTTTTTTGTAAGGTTTTCAATTTCTTTTTTTTTTCTTTTCCTTATAGTCTTTCCCTATTTTCCTGTAGTTTAAGTAATAAAGTGTTCTTTATGTTTAAGTTAGAGCCTGTTTTGCTTATTCCTGGTCACATCTCACAGCAGACACCAGGGTGAGGCATTTTCATGGGGGGGCACTGGCTCTGTGCCAGGCTCAAACCATGACACAAGCCTTCAGGCACAGCAGTGCCAGATCACCAGGAAGGCCAGGTGAAAGGACTGCAGCAGCCATAAGCCCAGGCAGAAGGGGATAAAGGGCAAGAGAAAGCCCATGCTGAGATGAACAGCCTCACTCCAGAGCCAATGGCACAGGCAGCCCCTACAGAGCCCTGTGCAGGTCACCAGCCCCTCTCTCACTGTACCCTGCTGTGTCCCACACAAAGCAGAAACCAACAGAGGGAGCCAGGCCATCACTGATTCCAGCCCCAGGTCCCAAGTCTCTGTCCAGCCCACACCTTCCCAGGCTAATGTTTCCATGCCCCTGCCTGCAGGGCATTCCTTTAATCAAGGTGAGCTTTAATAAAGGTAGTGCTGCTGGCTAATGAAGAGAGATCATCCTCCTAGCCTGAGGGAAAGGTTCTCCTGGCACTGCACTGGCTAATCCCTGGAACTGCTGGCCAATTTCAGCTGTGTTTAATGTCAGGTGATAGAAAGCTCCTAAGGTGTCAAGGAATTAAGCAGCTGGGAGGAGAACAGGGGCTTAAATCCCGACTGCCAGGAAAGACAAGACTGCAAAGACAGCTCATTTCTGCTCTTGGAGATGAAACAGCTGACGTGCAAGTGACGATGAGAACTTGAGCAAGAACTCCTATCTCCCCAGATGTCAGATAATTCACACCCATGGCATGAAGACATAGGAAACTTAACTTCTTAAGCTGTGTTATCTGCAAGATTGTATTTTCCCCTTAGCAAGGCACCAGAAGAAGTGATGGAGATGAAAGTGAAGAGTATCAGCCACAGTGCCCTGCAGTGTGTCTGCAATGCAACCTGCAGCAGCCACAGAGAGACCTCTCTCCTGCCTAGAGATGTCCTGCAGCAGACAGAGAGAACATGGCAATTTAATAACACCATTCCCTCTCCTCAGCCCAGCCCTGTGCACTGACACACCACTTCTGCCAGCCCAGAAGCACTAAAATAAACCAGGTAATGCAGAGCTTTCCCTTCATTTTCTTCCTCATTTCCCTATGCCTAACTATTTCCTGCTCCTCCCAACACAAGATCTGAAGGCAAGTAGGAGTGCTGTCAGCACGAAGTCTCCTGGGGAAGAAGGGAAGTGATGAGATTTGCAGGATGGCATGTGCTACCAAGTCATTCTCACTCAGCTCTGGCAATGACACCCATCTTCCTGCACTGGCAGGAGCCAAAAGGAAAGTAAAACAGAAGCAGCAGCAAATTTGTAACTTCTTACCTAATTTCATGGTTATGTAGAAATCATATAAAATGTAGACAGGTCCACTACATTATTTAGTGACTTTCCTATTAAAAACAAAAAACCCCAACCCTCTTGAAACTTAGTGAATTGTTAGTAGAGACTTTTCTAGATGGGAGGATATCTAAGTAAACCATTCAACTTTTCAGAAAATTTCACAACAGCACTCAACAAACTCACAGCAGATCCACTGACTTAAAGTCTTCAAGAAAAATGCCAAAGAGCTCTCGCAATAAATGAAACAGGATTAGAGTGCTGTTCCATGGGGATCCCTACCTTAGAGCACTTGTGCAGCACCTCCTCCTTGAAGTGCAGGAAGCTCTGCTGGATGGCAGGCTGGTTGAGGGGCACGGACAGGAAGTGTGTGAAGGGCTGTCTCCTGCGGAAGCTGTCCAGGAGCACCTCGAGCCGTGTCCGCGCAGAGATGACCCCGCTCCGCTGCTGCCCTGTGATCACTGCAGGCAAACACAGCAAAAACAGCCCCTCTGCTTCCCTGAAGCTCTCTGCTGTTAGTCCCAGCCTCCCAAGGAAGCAGCAGGAATCAAAACCCCCAACCATGCACTGAGAAACCTGCCAGACTCCCTGCTTGGCTTAAAATGCCTGACGCGGCTGTGCTTTGCTCAGCAAAGACAGGGTGATGCCATCAGAAGCATCCCTCTGCTCTGAGGGCCTAAAAAACACTGAGACCCACCAATTCAGGGACTCTTCAGATTTCTAGAGCATCATTTCAAGTTTTCAGATAGGCAGACAGAGTGAGAATGCCATGGAAATCCATCAAGGATCAAATAACTGTTCTCTGTTATTTGTGCACACACTTCAAGGCACCAAACAGAGAACACTTGAGCTCAAAAGGAAAGAACAGCAAGGAGCAAAATTTCCTTGGCTTCCTATTATGCCATGTTTTCAACATCTCTCAACCTTCCTAACAGTCCTTCACAGTTCTTGGGAAGAAGTCAAGACCCACTCCTTGAGAAGCAGCACCGTGTTCCTGTGCAGCATCACAGTGGGATCCTCCCAGCATTTCCTCCTCAGAGCTCAGTCACAAACATCCCTGTGCCAGAAATCTCTGGAGCATGCCTCCAATTACCCATTCTGGCAGAACCCACAAGGGTCAGCCCTGATGAGCAAGGTCTCCTTTAAATCCCTGGAAGTGATGAGAGGGAACATATGGTACAAGAAGCCCTGCTCTTACTGCTGGGCTCTAGTGCCAGCAGCAGAAAGTCACGAATGTCATCCCAACCCTTCTCATATTCAAGCATGTGCAGATGTTTACTTTGCACACAGATAAACAAGCATTTCTCTGAATGCTTATTTCAGTTTCTTATTGATGGAATACTACTTTAAAAGCAAAACTAAAAACAAAAAATACAACACATTCAGGACCCAAGTTCTTGAGCCATTTAATGCCTAGAAGTGACTTTAAAAAAAAACAAAACCAAACCTGACATTGTTTAATAAGGATTTATAGACAATAAAAATAAGCTGAGGAGAAAAGTGAAGTAACTTTCCCAGGGCCAAAAAGTGAGTCAGGGCTGTGTAAGAAGTAGGAATTAAAGGAAAACACCTCCAGTACTCCCTCCCTGCTTAAACTGTGCTTGTGCAAGAGCAGACAAAAGCACATCCATTTTGTGGATGTGGATTTACTCACCAATTTCTCCCTCCACTCCAGGCTTGGGAATGCTGATGGAGGTTCGAGTCTCTGTTTCTAGCCTCTTCTTGGTTTCCCCTTTCTTCCCAATGATGTACCTGGAGGCAGAAAGTGCAGGAGTTTCCCTCAGTGACACTGGGCACTCTCCATCACGTGTGTCCAGCCCTGGAGCCTCTGTGCTGGAGGGAAGCACACACCCAGCTCCTGTGCAGGCACAGAGGTGATCCCCAGGACCTCACGCATGTCCAGCCTGGGACAATGCTGAGCTATGGCTCACAACTGGTTTAAGTCAAAATAAGTTGGTAGGGCCACAACAGCTCTGCCCACCACATCCTCTCCCTCAGCTGGGTTCTCTCTTTTCCCATTATCCCAGCTGAGGAAGAAATAAGGGCTCTTTTTCTGCTTTTTGCTTTGCTCAAGGTAGTCATTTGCCAGCATCCAAATACACAATGGACCACCTTTCCTTCTCTATATCAGCAAAACTATCTAAGTAATAAAACTGTCAAAAATAACTAGATAAAACTTTGAACACCACAGGTTCCCCAGTGAACAAGGGACTGGAGTCAATAGCCAATTCCAGTCATGTGTGCCTTCTCTGAAAGCTCCCACAAACTTCCCCCTGCCAGGCTGCTCGCTCCAGCTCTTCCTCCCCTTCCTTCTCCCAGCCTCCTTGATGCTTTTACGTTCAAGGGAAGAGACGTTCAAAGCCTCTCCTGCCAGCCAGCAAGCACCACCTGCTGTCCCTCCCACGGGGCCGGTGAGGAGTCAAGCGAGGCCCAACTGCACTTCAAGGCGTTGCCAATTTCCCCTTCCCCAGCGCTCCAACCCCGAGCACATCCCAGAGATCCAAATCTCCAAAAATAAATATTCTGTGCTCAACTTCTTCCCCAATAAGCCACAGGCTCACTTGTACAGGGGGCTGGGAACCTCCAGGCGGCTCTGGAAGCCTCGCTCGGTCTCCTCCACCACAAAAGCATCGCAGGGCTCGTCCGCGCCCTCACCGGGGCCTGCCGGGAAAACCACATCAGAACCAGACCTCTGCCACCTTTGGCAGGGCTTTATGGAGGACAGCAGTCTCCTTCCAGCCTTCTCTCAAGGTGAAATGAAGGAAGGAATTGGCTTCTCTCTGCTGTGGGTAACTGCTTTGTATTTATCACCTCACTACCAGAAATGACAGCTTCTAAATGCAGCTGGTGGGAGGGAAGCGCAGGAAGCAGGTACAGGCCAGGTTTTTTCTCAGCTGGAGTTTGTGTAATTCCCACACAGTGAGAATGGCCTCTTCTGGCAGCCAATTCAGAAACTTAAGGCTGCAGAAGAAGACAGAGGAAAGGTGAGGAGAGTTTTGGTCTGAGGATTCAAGCCAGTGATTTAGAAACAGATGTGCCTTTCATCCGCAGGCCGTTGGGCTGTTCTCAGATCAAACAGAACACCCTGGAAGAATCCATGCTGCCTATTCCCTTTCCAACACAAGCAGGGAAGGATTTGAATGGAAAGCACCTGGTTATAAAGCTTAGTGCAATCCACTGGAAGGCACGGTGGGAGGAGAAACAGAACACAACTGCCACATCCCACCTGAAAAGTAACACTGGAGCTCTTCTGTGCCCACGACAACTCACACACAACTACAGCAAAGATACAGGCAGAAAGAAAAAAGAATACACCAGGACAGGAAGAATTTTGTCACCAAAAGGCCAGTTTTAAAGGCACAAACATTGTAAGGACAGAGGGTCTTTAGCAAGCAGCTGACATGTCTGCAAATGAAGATGGTAAGGGAAAGAAAGAAACCTGGGAAAAACAGATCTACACAGCTCATCTGGCTTCCCCTTTTCCTGCAGTTCTTCCACAGTCAGCAGGAAAACAGAACAGTCAGCAGCACAGTCAGCCAACCCACCTGGGATAGCTGGGACTGCTTCCACTTTGGGCAGCAGGATCATCAGGGACCAACACAAAGCCTTCCTCTCCCTCTTGAACACCTCAATCCACCACACGGGCATGTCTCTGCCCACAAAGGCATCAGAGGTGACTCTGAGAGCGCCCCAGGTCCCCAGTGCTGATGTTTACACCCCCTGAGCATCACCCCTTACCTGCACAGAAGTCCTCCTCCTCCTCGTGTGGGACGGGCTGCTCCTGGATGAGGTTTTTGCGGTACACTCGGCCCCCGATCCTTATCAAGGGCGGCCTCAGCACATCCATCCTGCTCCTGCTCCTCCTACTGCAACAACACAGACAGCTCTGCCAACCCAGGCCAAGGAAAAGCTCCTTTCAGTGTCTCCTTGCACACTGGGTTGGTGGGGACCTTAAAGCTCAGCTCATTCCAATGCCCTGCCATGGGCACCTTCCACTATCCCAGGTGCTCTGATGGGGATTCTGTGAGCACCCTGTGCCAGGGCCTTGCCATCCTCACAGGAGAACAATTTCTTTCTAATATTCAATCTCAGCCTCCCCTCCTTGAGCTAAAAGCTCCTCCATGTAGACTCTTCAGAAAGGCAACACCTCCTCAAACCTTACGTGTCTCAATCACAGAGCAATTTGATGAGAAATCACAAGTACATAAAGCACAATCAAGTGGAAGCAGGAAATTTAAGCAGTGTGAGCTATGTAACTCTGAAACTCACAGGTTTCAGCTAAAAGTCACTGTAACCTCAGGCAATGTGACATTTCATCGTTTCTTTGGGCTTTAGCTGGCACTGAGTTAAAAATGTTTAGAGTGGAGAACATTTAATGGTGCTAAAACAAAGAGCCAGCAGTGTTCTGTCAGAGACCTCACATCCCCAGCATTAAATTTCTATATTCACTGGCATGGTTAATTTAATATTGGATCTCAATTTTTAACCAGAATCTGTTACTCAGAAAATAAAGTTTCCACCCAAAAATTCACCTTTATCAGAAGGATTACCTGTCCACTGCAACAGAACAGGAAAAAAACAAGAGCCGGCCACAGAAGCAACTAGCATTTATCACAGAGTGACATCAGGCTGAGAAGGTTAATGTTAATACTTCTCCCTTCAGTTCGAGCCCCACCTTTTGAAATGATTCACAATCATGTGAACTTACAGGACAATAAAAACCATTACACTTCAATAAAAGTAATAATTCCTGTGGCTCAAGGGAACAAGTGGAGAGGTCAACTGTGCACAATGACGGGAAAAGTCATGAAAAATCAGTCGCTGGGGCTTTTGCTTACAGGCTTGTTTTCGGGGGCGGGAGGGAGGGGGGTTGTTTTTAATACTTTAATGTCACAATTTTTTGACACAAGGACTTCTGCAAAGCGAGCAGCGACAGCGGGAGGCA